CGCGCAATAAAATGGGCGCAATAATTATAGGACGAAAGTAGAAGTCGACTAAAAGAGTGTCATGTTCGGATTAAAACTAAAAATGTGGGAAATGTGCGCTACAAGTACAAGTGTAAGCGACACAGAGCTAAGCCACAGCGTAAACGAGTGTGGCGCCATGTAGGCATTGAAAACCTCCAATAACCTCCTTGTGCCCATGCCATCTAGCCGCTCATGTATCCACTAGGTAACCTGAAGCGCTACTATATTACCTATTCCAACCTCTTAAGTACACACACGGTCGTGTCGGAAACCTACACGAAATGGAGGGCCCATACGTCCACAACACTCTGTGTCTCCATTGCCAACACAGGGAAGGAATACAAGACGGCAAAGTACAACTGCCCAGTGAGAGTAAAATTAGTCAGCTTCGTAGGATAATGAAAGGTTGTGGCTGAGCAATAAATCATGCTCGCCAACAGAGTATTTGCTGGATGAGCTGGATGAATGAGCAAATAGCCATTTACCGTAATTTTGGTTCTTCTCTCTCCGTATGGTTTAATCTAAAATTAAATCTAGCTTAGTTTTGTCACATTTTTCCATTCAAGTTGGACAGAGGCTATGCACTTGATGGAGATGGACTTGATCCAGCCCTGACTCACTCCTACTTAACCTCCTGTACGAGTTTCAAGGGTACCAATTGCCTAGTACGCTAATAAAATATTATACATATATATTGTGACGGACCGATAGTTTTTGTGGCCATATATACGTCAGTCTACAATGACCGGTAAGCCGATATAACTTCACTCCCAGGATTCCAACGACTAGTTCTTAAGAGACGCGACCCTTGTTTGTGACGAGCCACGATTCATAAGGTTTTTCATAGATGTTGGCGTTCATACGAAACCCTTGGGCTGAAGGCGATGAGGGATAGGAGATTTCGTGATAATTAACTTGAGTTGGACAGTTGATGAGTTCCTATGTATATATATACAGATTTGTATCTTTCTAGTCACTTTTCTCTTCAATCTGGCATCTTATGATTTGAGTCCACGCGAGCTTTTGACTACTTGCCAATTATCGTTTGTCTTTCGGCTTTCCGCACATACGTATGACTCATGAATTATTTCCCTCGCCATTGAGCTTCTTGCCAGTGAGTTGGTGTGGATAGGGGCAAGTTAGGTGCAGGATAGAGACTGATGCACTGAGACAAAAAAAGAAGAGTCAGCTGTATGATAAATTTAGAAGTTTTCCTACTTCTTGCTGTATACTCCGATTATACTAATTATCGACGCCAATCACGAGATATATTATTGCGAAGCAAGCGCATGCGTGCTTCGTAAAAAGACATGTATTTTAATTTTCCGTACTATTCGGATCCTGGGATTGGATCCATAGTAAGGTTAAAAGGCTCCAAAGCAACAAATCCCCCCGTCTCCCGACCCTAACGTAGCCCAGCTTAGTACCGAGGTTGCATTTCTGTTCCATTTATTTCAGTTGTTCCCTTAATTCCATGTACTTCTCGGTCGATAAGTGATATATTGGGTGGAACTAACAAAGGTGCGAATTCCTCGTTTGACCCAGTTCTAGCTTGTTGTTTCCTCATGTTACTGGAATACTCCCTTGTGTGTGTAGTGTCTGCGCCAGTACGATAGAGACGTAATCTAGAGTCTAGTCAGCCATAGAGACTACCAAGGGTGTGTAGGAGGGCAAGACTGAACACCTGTACGCGGTGTCCTCTACGAACCTGGGAGTGAAACATTCTCCCAGAGCCAAGTTCAGTCAAATTTCGCAATATGGAACAAGTTGGCCCACGAGGCAATGATTCAAAATACTCCACCATATCAATCTTTCACTCCCAACGAAATCGAATCCTACCTAAGCGTCATCAAGTCTACAAGTACGACCTAGTACATCCTCATTCCAATGACCACACTTCTTTTCGACTTTCTTTGGCCTTAGCTGGTCGCCAGATACACGCCCACGCCGATATTTACACCCGACGGGCATGGGATTTTGAGTTTTGGAAAGGAGTTTTTACAGATTGAGCTTTGTGCGCGCCAAGTCTTCGGATGCGAGAGTGCAGGCGACACTATAAACACCGCCATGGTTTGATGGTGCGGTGGTACATCGTCTTAGCCGGTCGGCCGAGAAGACTCTGGATAGCTTGGACACATATCCCACTTGAGACAGTAGATCGCTGGTTCAAATCCAGCAAAACACAACCACATTTCTCGCGGAGCTGATATGCATGGATGACGAAGGCATGCTTGGATAACAAAGGTTTTGAAATTCCCTTTGGTGGGTACTAACAGAGGAGGGTCGGCTGTTTGTGTGAGCAAGCATACCTCATAGTGGTATCTGCAAATGAAATCCAAAGTGTGAGTGTCTCTAACGTCAAAAGAGTCATCCAACATGTATACATAGCACCGGTCATGTGTCATAGCTAGATAGCTGAATACACATTAAATGATTAAAAAAAAAAACAAATACCAAGGGTGTGGATTGGGAACGGTTGCTAAGCAACGGAGACTGTTATGATCGGCGTCGTTAATTCAAGTCCCTTTTTTTTTTGAATCATTTAATATGTTTTCAACTATCTAGCTATGACACATGACCGGTGCTATGTATGCATGTGGGATGACTCTTTTGACGTTAGAGACACTCATACTCTGGATTTCATTTGCAGATACCACTATGAGGTATGCTTGCTCACACAAACAGCCGACCCTCCTCTGTTAGTACCCACCAAAGGGAATTTCAAAACCTTTGTTATCCAAGCATGCCTTCGTCATCCATGCATATCAGCTCCGCGAGAAATGTGGTTGTGTTTTGCTGGATTTGAACCAGCGATCTACTGTCTCAAGTGGGATATGTGTCCAAGCTATCCAGAGTCTTCTCGGCCGACCGGCTAAGACGATGTACCACCGCACCATCAAACCATGGCGGTTTTTATTGTGTCGCCTGCACGCTCGCAACCGAGGTCTTGGCATGCACAAAGCTCAATTGGTAAAATCTTCTTGCCAAGTTTCACAATTCCACGCCCGTCGAGACTGTATCTATCTTTCACATCATCTATTGAACTTGTCCTGTATCCTCTCACGCCAAACCCAAAGAACTTTCCCCCAGATTTGTGCGCCACGCACTGTTTCCTCCATTGGATGCAAATATCGGCGTGGGCCTGTATTTGGTGACCGGCTGAGGCTAGAGAAAGTCAACGAGAGGAATGGTCATTGAGATGCGGATGTACTAGGTCGTACTTGTAGACTTGATGACGCTTAGGTAGGATTCGATTTAGTTGGGAGTGAAAGATTGACATGGTGGAGTAATTTGAATTTTTGCCTCGTGGGCCAACTTCTTTGATATTGCGAAATTTGACTGAAATTGGCTCTGGGAGAATATTTCACTCCCAGGTTCTAAGAGGATACCTCGTACAGGTGTTCAGTTTTGCCCTCCATAACAGTTGCACGTTGATGGTTTGAACAAGGATGTAAACTATTCTATAGGATATGATAGGATAGGATATCTTACATCACAAAATGGAATATTCTACTAGCAATTAGATAGGTGAGCTTTAGGTATAAATAGCAGTATTCTCCTTCATGTAGATAGCAATCATCAGGAAACGAATCTAATAAAGCGAACACATATCATCGTCCACTTCATAATAGTATCAAGCACATATTGATAAAGCCACTGATTGTATGCAATTCCCCTCCTCATAATCACAATAGATAGATGTTGTGATGTGATTATTGCATTTACTCTAAATTTATCTCTGTCAAGTGCCAGGGATACAGCACATCTATGCGAGTACAGCACAGCCCTACATGGCCATCATTACGAGTGCGGCTGACACTATAAACACAAGCCAACGATGGAAGGTTTTGTGGTCCGCCTCCTGGTGGTGTTCTCTGGTATAGTTTGAGTAGCCTGGGCACCTACTCCACTTGGGAAGGAGACATCTTAGATTACATTTCGCGCGGAGAAAAGTTGATGGATGACGGAGGCATGTCTGGATAACACAGGGTTTTTGAGTCGTTCCCCTAGTGGGTATTCACGGATGAGGGTTGACTTTGGGTGAAGAAAAAGCCACCATAACTTCGCAGTGGTACTTGCAAATGAAATTAGAGGCATGAGTGCTCTTCCTTTACGTTGAATCATCTATTCTATACTTTTCTTTGATATTGCGTCATAGCTAGATAGCTGCATACGCAATTAAAATCTGATGCAAAAAAAAAAAGACCGAATATAAGCGTGAACAACTCAGTTGCAGTAGACCAAGACCTCATTTATATACATGATTTTCTTCCACTATTCTTCATGACATGAGTCTTATCCAAATAATAAGATAGTACCCAGTACTAAGAGCCGCGATGTTGAGATAGCAGCTTGGAAGGAAGATTAAAAGTACATACTAAATTAAGGGTAAAACATGGAATCCTTATACTGTGATAGGTATTCATGACGAGGGTGCATGCCAAAGGGCTAACCTTTGAGAGGAATCTATGAATGGAAACTGAGTGTAGATCTTCCGCAACTCAATATTTGATATGGGCTCAGGACGACCACTAGTCAGAGTTATGCCTTCTAGTTGTAGCATTACCACTATATCATTAACACCAACCCAAAGTGTGAAGACTTTAATACTTCAGGCACTGATACCTGGTCGAGCCATGCTAGGCTCTACAGCTGTACTTAGTCGTAAGATATAGTCTTAGCTCTGTAGTTTTACAATCTATATTATTAGTCCAGAACTTTTCTTGCCTTCATCCGTTTTGATATACTCTCGTGTACCATCGGCTCTTTCTTTCCCCGAGACGAATATCTCGTCGCACACTAACCGTACCAAAATGAATCGTTCCACATATAATACATATCTTTCGAAAATACGTGGATGGGCGCTCGGGGCGCCAGTTTAGGATAGTGAAATTTTTTATTCAATTTCTACTTTGACTCTGATCTGTCGGGAATCCCACAATAAAGCAAACTACCCATGATAATAGGTTATTTGATTCCTAACACAATTTGCTCTTTGAATCATCTTCCAGTTGCGATACCTCAGGAATCAAAGATCTCTGCGCAGATTTGATAGTCGCTGGTGAACTACACCCAGAGATTTTGTGTTTCGGGATGTTGACTTTGTTGTCATCTACTGCTCCGAAATCTATTTTTGGTTTTTTTGCTCTTCCTAGCGATGATCTTCCTGGCTCTTCATCGCTACTATCATTTCTGGAGTCTCTTAGCGTGCTCGCAGCAGGTTTTTGTTCCCTTGCTTTTCTTTTTCCTGCTGATGAAGTTTTCGATACACCAAATTTAGCAAGAAGTGAATTGTTATTTCTTTCAACATCAGAAACTAAGAACTGAGACGGAATTGGTGCACCAAGACCAAGTCGCGGATATTTAGCTTGCGACAAGATATCGTCTTCAGAATCGTTCTGTACTTCAATACCGTTAGATATCTTGTGATCTAAAGAAGATTTGGTCCATGACTTGATAAGAGACTCCCGCTGTGCAAGGGCAGCAGCTATTCGGTTCGAGACGATGTCGTAGTCCACTTGGAGTGGTTTGATTTTTGAGTCGGAGATTTCAGATGTCATGATGATTTTGATTAGCCAGTTTAGAAAGTCTTGATCGTTATAGTGATTGATATAGGTAGAAGGGGATTAAGTAGGCGAGACGTTGGCTTCATGCATAATCTCACTACTTCTATGAAAACTATGGCCCTGATTCACACAGATACAAGGAGCGCCTAAGCTTGCTGCCTTACTACCTCTAATTAGAATAGGTCCGGATTGCGAACTATTTACATACGAAGTATGAGAATTATTTAGGAATATGATTAATGTGCTAACTGTAAGGTGAAGTTTAATGACGGTGTGTGGGTATTTAATTGAACTTGAATTGCTTATTATTTCTATCTGTGTGGCGAAAAGTCCCTCTGTTGTAATTGGTATGAAATTTGGGTGAAAATACAATCATATGAATCTGCTGCTATTGGATATAGATGGGTTTTCAGGATGTGTATATTAAGCGATGGTGAGAATAAGGAGCTTAATTATTTGGTGGCAGCTGCATTTTCTTGTTAGACCTCCGTCAGAGGAATGCTCGCTATTTATAGTTCCTAGACTGTCGCCTAAGGAAAATGCTTGTTTAATTTAGCAGAGTAGACAGAGCATTCTCAGATTTGATGACGAAGGCTGAAGACCTGTCAGTGGTGTTCTCAACGAACCTGGGAGCGATATATTCTCCAAGAGCCAAGATTCAGTCACGACATAGGGTGAATTTGAGAATTTTCGTTGATTTGGCGATCAGGAGGAGTGGTGTTGGTTCATTTTTGGTCGAAAATCCGACTCGCAGAAATTTAACGACTGCACAACCCAACGAAATCAGCCATCTACACCCCAGATACTAACCGCAGACAGATTGTAACCTGTCCGATGTTCGTATCACAAATACAGACATTTTTCAAGATCTAATCTTCTTTTTCTCTGGAAGATCATTCACAGCCCAACTTATCTCGCGGCCCTCTCCACAAACATCTCATCACCTACCAAAGCTATCCCATACCTCCAAAAGCCAAATCGCCATCAAAGAAGCGAGAGGATGTCCGACCCTACGCAACTGCCAGTCACTGTGAATATATGGTCGAAATACCGGCCTTAGATGCGTCCTCACCTCGGCCAAGGGCTTCAACACCTTGACCTGCGACGAATTGCCACCGACGAAACATGTACGAAATTTCGCCGGCACACCAACAGAGCGTTCGACAAAGGCTGGGAGACCGGTGCCTCGGTCTTGAGCTCTCAGTCACATTTTCGACCTCCACGGTTAGGGGTACGGCAGCGTCGGTGCAAGGCCGGAGGGGTGAACATGCTACAAAGTTTCTTGGATGACGAGGCTAGCCAAAGGACAGAGGGATGCTGCATGGAGGAATAAAAAGGGAATACAAACTGAGGAGGCCTTGGTGGGTGAATGTATGAGGCCTCCAATGAAGAAAACGACCCCTGGATGAGATGAGGAAATGCTGAGATGAGCAAAAGCTGGGAATGAATCGAAGAGAAAAGTTACAGATCGCGAAGGTGTCAAGGGCACGGGCGCGTGGTGGTCGAGGCTGAGGAGGAATTTGCGCTTCGGCGTGGCAAAAGAAGGTTCTCTGGACGGTTGGGCTTAACATGATTCCACACATGGGTGAAGTCTGAGGTGGTCCGGTCATTCACGTGGGACGAGGTAGATGTACTTAATGGTAGTTAACCTGATCCAGCCCGGCGCCACCCGTGCTTAAGCTTCAGTAGGAGTGCAACAGAAGTCACTTGACCTAGCACGTTAATGAACAAAACAAAACAAAACATCCCTAGATTTTCGCATAACCCACTTAACTTAGGCTTTGCATTATGGTTATGTGTATTCTGGCATAAATAATACACTACAAGGCGCGGGTAACACTATAGACGCCGCCAGAGGGCAAGACTGAACACCTGTACGCGGTGCCCAAAACGAACCTGAGAGTGAAATTTTTTCCCAAAGCCAAGATTCACCATCCACCAACGGTCGAATCGATTTTTTCCACACTGAGAGTCTCATCAGAAAGAGTAATATCGGGCTGATATCAGTCGGAAATCTAGGATTGCAGAGATTTATCGACTATTTAAATCACGAGGAAAATTACCAAGATTATTCAAGCCAATATCATCTTAAGCCGTTGATCGCACTCCCCTTCGATACGCCGAACAATTTTCGAAGACCCTATTTAATGCTAATAAAAAAGCCACAATACCACCGGCGATTTTTATTCTAACACTGTTGTCGACGGGGAATTATCGGAGGACGTCAAACTTGGGTTACTGAGTATGAATTTACTAAGACAAAACTAAAGTCTGCGAGAGAGGACGACAGAGATGCTGGGCCGTAGAAGCTATGGAAGCGATTAAAATGAAGGACTCAAGATTGCAAAAGTATCAGCTAGAAGTTTGGCAGAGGCAGTCAGCCGTTCGAAATTCTTATAGATTTCCGAGGTGCTGAGCAGGAGCTGGGCCTCACTATAAATTTTCCTGGCTCTCTTGGGGCGCCGACACGTCGAGTAGTCTTTACAGACTAAGCCGACCTGCACTTAGTTTTGTAGTCTATTTTTGTGCGCCAGCACGACGTTAAGTAATTTTAAAAAAAATGAGAACTTCAAGTCTCGTCAATATAGTTCGGGATGGACGTGAGAGAAATGAGGGCAAGTTTACAAGTTGATGCATTGGAATGTTACAATCTCGACGGGTGTTGGATTTCGAAATTTGGCAAGGTATATTTCACATTGAAGATTATTGTCCGCGCCAGGTCTTCGATTGCGAGAATGCAGCTCACAGTATCAAAACAAGTCAACAATGGGAGGTTCCGTAGTTTGCCTCCTGGTGGTGTTCTCTGGTATAGTTTGAGTAGCCTGGGTACCTATTCCACTTGGGACGGCGGCGCCTTAGACCACATTTCGTGCGGAAAAAATCCAGTTGGCGATGGAGGCATGTCTAGATAACTCAGGATTTTTGAGACGTTCCCTTGGGTGGGTATTCACGGATGAAGTTTGACTTGGGGTGAAGAAAAAGCTGGCATAACTTCGCAGAGGTACCTGCAAATGAATTCCAGGACGAAAGAGCTCTAATTTTGAAAGGAGTCATCAATTCTGTATTCATCTCTGGTATTGTGCCAAATCCTGAAGATAAAAACCTGGTAGTTTCCTGTGGGCTAGAAATGACGCCCACTTAGTCTACACGTTGTCAGAAGTACAATCCTCTGATGTGTAAGCTTAGAGATGACTTGAGTCTAGATCTTTGCCAGAAAGCCCCTCGCACATGAAGGATTAAAGAAGTTAAAAATTTTTGTACAGGTCACTGGCTGCTTCGCTAGGTCGGACGCAACCTAATTCTTTACTAGATACAAGGACAGCTTTGGCTATAAATGCTGGGATTGGTACTGCCATGGTGAGGCTTAAAGGATGATGAACGCTGACTCGAAATCAGTTGTGGTTTTCTTCGTTCATTACCTTAATTACTGTATTACTGTATTACCTCCCAAGTGAACTAAAGATTCATTGGGTCTAGAATAGGTTTGAACCGGCAGGTCAGGCCTGATGATTAAATCTCGGCTTGCTCCAATGTTCCTACTTTTAAAAATATATCAAGTTTCGGTGTATGATAGGGCATAACCCTCATTATCTTTCAGAACACTTGGAAAAGACTTAACACAAAGTACCATTGAATCATAGCTTGTAAGCTAGCATTAGCAGTCTCTGAAGTCTTAGACTCACTAGGGACTTAAATAACTTTCTATTCCCTTCTATTCTGGTGAAGAACTCAAGACTATACCAATACATACTTTCCAAATCTTAAAAGCTGCATGTACAATAAAAGTTTGATGCAAAAAAGTCGCTCATTATTTTTTACATGTTCTGGGGAAGCTGAAGATCGCATTCAGAGCAAAGTCAAAAGCAAACCGGATACATCTATAACAGGCGACTCCACATTGACATCGGTCCTGTCACTCTCACACGAATCTTCTCAATTGATTCAACTACCATTCAACTCGCCTTGACGACCGATCAAGGGTTCGCTTTAATTAAAATTTGGAGCTTGTCGCATTTGTTACCGGCAATCAACCAGTTTTAGACTTAGGATGCAACGTATACCTGCGAGAAGGAGATGAGTGATAATACACAAAGCCTGGATCTCGGCTGATGAGACACCGCTGCTTTGATGGGACTTAACAATTTAACGTAGGAAAGGCTGCCTAGACAAACTTTTCGGGAGATTTTGACTCTGAGGTGTTTTTAGGCGATAAGACTAAGTTTTCTGGCAAGTAGGCAGGAAGATTTCTATTGTCCATGAGTCACGGCACTACCTAGTACCCCAGACAGCACAAAGGAGGTTGGGCTAAGCAACTTTACCGCAAACATGCTCTGTCAAGACTGTTGTGATATCTTATGACGACCATCGGACAGGATTTGAAAGGAGGCAAAAAAAGCATTAAATGAAATTTTATGGTATATACAAGTCTGTAGGGTCAAACTGACCGGCCTCGTCGAACGCTTCAGAAGGGAAGCTGTGTCTTTGAATTTAGCCCGGATGTTGGTACTTGGAAAGCCCTACACCCAGCGGTTTTTGACATTTTTCCTGGTTGCTATATACTCGTAAATTGCCATCGTTTAGATGGTATGAGAGGGGAGATAACGAAGGGCAAGGGGCTCAAAGTGTCTGGATCAAACTAGGACCTGTGATGAGCCGTAGTGATCTAAGGAGGCTGAATTGGAGGCATTGGACGGGATAAACTACTCGCAGAGGCAACTTTGATCTATAGGGAGATAGGACCTAGATGTTCTATATTATTCTAGACTGAGAAAGGGCAGTAGTAATGTATGAAAATACTATGACTGTTTTATTCTTTGCTGCGTAGGAGAGATTGCACCACGACTCTCTGGGATGAAGCCAACCCTTTTTGTGGCCTCAGTGAATCGTAGCAACGTTCCCCTGGGTGGGTATTCACGGATGAGGGTTGACTTGGGGTGAAGAAAAAGCCGCCATAACTTCGCAGTGGTACTTGCAAATGAAATCTGAGGCATGAGTGCTCCTATTATAAACCGAGTCATCTTTTCTGTACTTTTCTCTGATATTGTGTCATAGCTAGATAGCTGCACACGCAATTAAAATCTGATGCAAAAAAAAAAAAAGAATCGTTGTAAATAGACATCGGCTGTTGCAAAGAAAGGGGATTTAGATGGATGTGCACTCCGTGTGGCTCCAACACTTGGGTCTCACCCGGCTAGGGCTACAGGAATCTTGAGAATTTGCCAAGCATATGCAATATCCATTTATACTTTTCTATTTGCCTGGATGAAAGGTTCTTGGAAGTTGATTTGGATAACATATTGTACTCAATAACAGAGAGTATTGTTGATTCACATAAAAGCTTCTCCATAACCCAAAATTGAACGGCTGACTCTGCTACAAGCCACACTAGCAAATGGGCCCGCATTCTAAGGGTAATTGCTGAGCGAAGTGGCTATCCAACACGGGTAATACCTTACTAATCTAATCTTCGTATGAAAAGAGGATAGGAGCATTGTAGAAAGTCTGGCCTGATTCAGAGAGGAGCCCAATGTGCTGAATAGTCATTGACTGTACCATCCCATGATACGGAAAATTATACTGAATACCATTAAGGTGTAGAAGTGACCTGAGTAAATATTGTGGGTGCCATTCAGCCACGTAAGAGGGAATGTGTTGGCTTTGAAAGTGCCAGGTTGCATCAGCCAAGTCAATGATTACCGCACGTACCCATTCCCTAGCGAACATGAACCATTAGGGACTCGGGGCTTCATCACCACTTTAGCTGACATCGTACAACTAGGCCCTTTTGCATCTACCAAAATGTTTAAGGTTATTCGAAGTCACCCCTTTGCCTCTACGATCAAGTGTTTTAAATCGGGATCAGTAAGTTTTCAGAAATTCAAATGTTGAGTCTAGAAAGCTAACTAAGCTATTGGTTTACAATGCACAACAAAAGAGAGCTTTGAGCATTCATGAGTACCTTTCGGTCGACCTGTTAAGTAAAGTAAAATCAGTAAATTTCGCAGGTCGAGAACTTAAGCTTACATGAGGTCAGTATGGTATCGGTGTTCCCCGCGGCTCTGTCGCAACGTCAGGGATAGAAGCTGAAGCCGTCGCCAAACAAATCGGCAGCAATGATATGGTCATCAAAGCTCAAGTCTTAGCAGGCGGGAGAGGCAAAGGAACGTTCGACAGCGGGTTCAAGGGAGGTGTACGCTTGATCTACTCTCCTGCCGAGGCCAAAACACTGGCGGAACAAATGATTGGTCATAAACTTATCACAAAGCAAACTGGAGCCGCTGGCCGTCTCTGTAACTCTGTTTTAATATGCGAGCGCAAATTTGTTCGTCGAGAATTTTATCTCGCTATCCTCATGGACCGAGCATCTCAAGCTCCGGTGATCGTATCCTCATCTCAGGGAGGGATGGATATCGAAGCTGTTGCAAAAGAAAACCCTAGCGCAATAACCACCACTTACATTAATATCCACCAAGGTGTAACCGATGAAATTGCTCGAAAAATTGCCAAAGATCTGGGCTTCAGCCAACAGTGTGTAGAGGATGCTAGAGACACTATTCAAAAATTGTATAAAATTTTTATGGAGAAAGATGCAACTCAGATCGAAATTAACCCTCTATCCGAAACTTCCGATTACAAAGTTTTAGCAATGGATGCGAAGCTTGGTTTTGACGATAACGCTGGATTTCGTCAGGAGAAAATATTTTCCCTGAGAGATACGACCCAAGAAGATCCAGATGAAGTACGCGCTGCCGAGTCGGGGCTCAATTTTATCAAACTAGGCGGAGACATTGGATGTTTGGTCAATGGTGCCGGTCTTGCAATGGCTACAATGGACATCATCAAGCTGAACGGAGGCGAGCCTGCAAATTTCCTCGATGTTGGTGGCGGTGCAACACCAGATGCCATTCGCGAAGCATTCACTCTCATTACCAGCGACTCTAAAGTATCAGCTATATTTGTTAATATTTTCGGAGGAATTGTAAGATGTGACGCTATTGCCGAAGGACTTATAAGTGTGGTTGAAAGTATGAACCTTCGCGTTCCAATCATCGCTCGTCTTCAGGGTACAAATATGGAAGCTGCTCATAAGTTAATTGTCGAATCGGGATTGAAAATATTTTCTATCGACGATTTACAAAGTGCTGCCGAGAAGGCTGTGCAGCTATCAAAAGTTGTTAAGATGGGTAAGTTCAAAAATCATAAATTTTAACAACCTCTAACACGAAATAGCGCGTGATATCGATGTTGGTGTTGAGTTTACTCTTGGTATTTAGAGGCCAGATTATTTCTTCACCTATCGCTAATGGACGTATGAAATGAACGAAATAACATTCCAAACCTAATGAACTCTGCACTCTGTATTTTCTGATCTGTACGAATTATTCCAACCGAAACTGATAATTTAACTCTACACGTGGCTTTTATGGCGACTGTTTATGATTATCTAATTGATCAAGAGTTATGTGATATATAATTTACACAACTTAGTCAATGTGTAAAGATCTACGGAAGGGCTCTTTTAATCTTGAAAATAAGAAGTAGAAGGATTTTGTATTGATATCATGGATACTGAGCGGGTTAGCAACAGTGTTTTGTCTCAGTACTAGCATGATAAACTCCCAATACTTGAATTACTAGATAAGTTCGAATTCTGTGCTCTTACTAGTCAATTTGTGACTATGAACAGTGATCCCATGGGTACCACAAATTGACCTGGTTTATGGTAGTGACTAAAACAGATTTGGAAAGGTGATTATTACCTATGGCTTGCAGCAATACGAGGGGCAACAAAACTGCCGGCAAATTGGAAGCACAAGATTGAAATTATTCCCAACGATAATTGTAACGCATCTCATAGCTAGTAATCAAGAGGTATGAAAATGGTAAAGGTAGCCTTGAGAATGTAAGACAGATTGGCTATGAAAGGAGAGACAGGAGAAACTACAGCGAGTTCTGTATACATGGGGTGTGGGCGTTTGCTGAGTAATGCCAAGACTAGATTGGCATTCATGTCATGTATAGGTATTTCATGTTCAAGCACCCACTCTACCTTGTTCATTGCATGTAAGGAGCCCTGAGGGCGTAATTCTAGTCTATTAAACGCAAGAGGTATTAAGATTCTCGACTTAACTTGATATGATCTCACCAACTGTCAAATGACCTAATGACTTAATGATCTTTCACGTATTATCTTATACATGACTACTAATTATCTTGATGAGTAATGAGTTATCTGTTTAGGAATGGCGTTAGGAGAGAGGGATATATATATATATATATATATAATGCATTTTACCTGATTTGGCGCCTTGAGGCCCATGCAGGTTTTATCGGAAAATATGTAATTTAAGTAGGATGACTCGATTTGACTTTTTAGAACACTCACACTCAGATTTCATTTGCAGATACCACTCGAGGTTAACCCTTACGGCGTATAACCTCTTCCGTGCATACCCACCACATGGAAAAGCGTGAAAAACATGTGGCTATCCGAGTGTGCTTTCATCATCCCATAAGTACGACATCACCGCGAGAGAGAGTGGTGTGTGGGTCTGATTGGATTCGAACCAGCTTTCTACTGTCTCGAATGGGGTAGGTGTTCAAGTTACCCAGTATCTACTTGGGAGAACGGCCCGGATGGTGTACAACTGCACCATCCAGCCCGGAGAGAAGGATAACTGCAGTATATACGTGTTTCCTTTAGTTAGATAGGAAGAAAAATCAAGATACATGTTGACCACCGATCGCAATTACTGCTGTAGAAGGCTTGTGATATATATACCGCCTGAGTATCCGAAACCAGTCATAACAAAATTTTTTTACTCGACCAAATATTAGTAGCTGATAAATACTTTATGATTTTTGATTAGTACCATAGCGAGTTTTGAACCGAAGAATAAATAACTTTTATCTCGAGCTCTTTACCTGGTCTTAAAACCATCTCCATTTCGTGTACCATTTAAGGGATTGAAATATTTTGTGATACTAACGAAGTACTAAATCCACCCTACGAGGATATAGACCATATTTATTCAAGTGGCTGCGAAGGTAGTGAGGCTTCTAGTGCTTTCGAATGGAAGACACGTGAGATGAGCAATGATTCGTAAGAACTGAAATAAGGGTGCTAAAAGGCCCCAACAACTAATGAGTACAGCAGAGATTCTTTATCCATTATCCTAATTAGGCGCTCTGAGGGCCTGTGCAGGTATTTTCAGAAGATTTATGCCTAGCGCGGAACGACCCAAGTTGACGGAGGGCAAAACTCAACACCTGTATGCGGTGTCCCCCACGAATCTGGGAGTGAAATTTTCGCACAGAGCCAAGTTTAGTCTAAATTTGCAGTATCAAAGACATTGGCCCACGAGGCATTGATTCAAAATACTCCACCACGTCAAATTTTCGCTCCCAACGAGTTTGACTCCTACCCAAATCTCATCAAGTCTTGAAGTACGAGCAGGTTTATCCTCATCCCTATGACCACACCTCTCGTCGACAATTCTCTGGCCTCAGCTGGTCGCCAAATACTGTTGTAAAGGTAAGAGCTTAGGGAGGTTAATTGGTAGAAAGTTTACGGATGATTCTTGATGAATCAATGTGACCGGCAGATATATTTGTTAGAATGAAATAACAATTGTTGTACTAATAAAGATTTAACAAAATTACAATACACATATTATAAGGAAATGGTTAAACTGTCCTTTGCAGCTATTGATGGTGACATGAATTAAGATGATGATTGTGATTAAGATAGATTTCTATATAGTTTATAATACATGATATACTCAGGCTCATATACCTCGAGCCAAGCAACCAGATTATGTTCCTCTAGATCTAGATTCATCAGAATAATTACTTACTCAGTAAAATTCTCCTAGTCTCAGTTGTGTGTTTAGGATCTTGATTAGGTTTCTAGTAACTAGTCAAAGATGTTTCTCATATCACTGAGACATAGTCATGGTTGATACAACAGGTACAAACGATGAATCGTGCCTGTACATGACGTTGTGATATAGTCATGATCGTCTGAACAATATCAACTCATGAATGAATCATGTCTCTACATGACACATATTCAGTCATATATACACTATTCATAGTCCACGAGTGATCCAGCTCTGTAGAGCCAACACTGATGTCTTCTACTCGTGTCCTAAACGGAGCGAGTGATCTGTCTTCCCACGTCCTGTTTAATATGCGAAGGCCGCCGGCAAAGACGAATTCTTCACCTTCCAGTGGTGCCGGTGTCATCGCTCAGTATGCTCTGCATATCTGGGATAACCAAGAAGAATCGCATCCGAATCGAAGTCGAAAGCAAATACATGCATATCTCCATTTGACGACTTCTCAATCATGCAGCACTCACCATTATCTTCTGAGTCCTCAACCTCGATCTAACTACACATCATCTCGCCTCGCTGATCGATAAAGGCGTCACCCCAATTGCAAACAGGAGCTTGACTCGATCATTACCGGCCATCACTCACTACAAATTTACGACGCCGCGTATACCCGCGGGGATATTAAGTCATAATATACAAAGTTGGGGTCTTGGTTTATAGGGGACTGATGCTCTAATGGGGTTGTACATCTTGAGGAAGGACAGGCGGCTGAGATGTGGAACGAGAGGAGGAACTGGTCTCTGAAGGCCATGCTGAGACTGACATTTTCGAGGGGTTTTCAACTTTGGATCTTTTGTGGGCGCTGAGACCAAGATTTCGGCTAATTAGCCAGGAGGGCTTCTATTGTCAATGAGTCAACGGCACTCCCCAGCACCCTGGACGGCACAAAAGAAGCTAGGCTAAGCTACCAATCAACAATTACGCTCTGTCAAGGCTTTTCTGACATTTCAGCACGACCTTCGTGAAGGAGTTGGAAGGAGGCTGGAAAGGCAGAGGGTGAATTTCCCGAGGTACCCACAAGTCTACAGTGCCCAGGTGGCTGGCCTCTTCGAACGGTTCAGAAGGGTCACTATGTCTTCGGATCTAGTCCTAATATTGGTATTAGGAGAGCCCCGTAACACTGGGTTTGCATTTCCCGGCTGCCATACACCCGCAAATGGCCATCGTTTCGTTGGCTAGGGAGGGGAGATTATGAAGGGCAAAGGGCACCTCTAAGTGAATGATCGAATGAGGACTTGTGTGGGGTGGTACTGTTTGAGGGGAGCTGTATGGGAGGCGTAGGAGGGGATATACTACTGGTAGAGGTATCCTTGGCCTGTAGGCAGAGAGGACCTGCATGTCCTACATAGTCATAGTCTCAGACAGGACAAAAAATTGAGTTGAAAAATTATCCGAAGGCCACCATCACGTGACCTTGGTCTTCCGTAACACAACATGTCATGCAGACCTCCTGCCCAACTGTTGACCACTAACAGTCAGGTAAATATGTGACCCATATAATATTTACCCCTTAATAATAATGTATATATCTAGTCTCAACAATATTCGGCATCCAAAATTATGAGGATTTAGGAGGTAAAAAGCGCTAATCATATACACATCTGAGGTAGCTAGACTCTCGCCTTACTTTCCAAAAACAGTATCACGAAGTATTCTAGTCTCCTCCATCGGGTGGGATTATCTAGAAATACTTTCCATACAGTGCTCCGCTACTCTTCTATTCACCATGGAGCCACGTGGAAAGCTCTTGCTCCACCCTCAGTGATCAATACCCTCGTGTATCGTAATCCTGGCCATCACCAGCACAACAAACACACGCACACGCCGATGTTTATACACATAAAGGGAAGTAAAGCGTGGCGCACAAATCTGAGAGATAGTCCTTTGGGATGGACGTGAGAGAAATTAGGGCAAGTTCAGAAAGCGATGCAAAGGAAGGATATAACCCCCATGACCGTGATTTTGAAATTTTGGCAAGTGTTGGGATTACAGGGTGATATCACGTCTCTACTGGAGTAGGTAAAGCTATGATATATTTGATCTGTCGATGATTTCTCTTGCTTCTGAGTTTTGAAGATATCTTTTTTTCCATACAGCATGCATTACAGATGGGTTATTCAAATGTAGCATCGTTTCATGTGGGTCAATAGGCCCAAATTCGGTAATAAAGTGCTCAAAGTGACTGTCCACACCTTGCAGAGGCTCGATATTTCCCTCTTTTTCCCACTCGCTCAAAAACTGATCCATTTCGTTCGCTTGATTGCTTGTAATACCCTCAATGCCTTCCCAATCGGCCAAAAACGCGTGATAGTAGGCTGGAGAAGCTGATTGGCCCTGGAAGTAAGCCTGACTAAGCCTTACTTTGGAACTTTGAA